TTTTTTTTTTTGAGACAGTCTCACTCTGTCACCCAGGCTGGAATGCAGTGGCACGATCTCTGCTCACTGCAACCTCCACCTCCCAGATTCAAACAATTCTCCTGCCTCGGCTTCCTGAGTAGCTAGGACTACAGGCATCCGCCACCACGCCTGGATAAGTTTTGTAGTTTTTGTAGAGACGGGGTTTCACTATGTTGGCCAGGCTAGTCTGGAACTCCTGGCCTCAAGCAATACACCCACCTCAGCTTCCGAAAGTGCTGAGATTACAGGCATGAACGCCCGTGCCTGGCAAGTCGTTCTTGATCTTTCAAGATTCAACTGTATTATGAAACTAATAAGTGAGGATGACTTTTCTGCCTTATTGAGGCCCCTACTCTTTCTAAGCATCTTTCCATACACCAGAGAGACTGTTGACAATTCCTCCAAAGACAGGACTTATTTGGACCCCTAAAATTTAAAGTTTCTAGCTATTCTGTGTTCTCTTCTTGGATGGCAGCATGAAAGATTCCAGGGCCATACGCTGTGTTTGCTCTCTGTGTCTCCATAAGAAATGTATGCAGTTTCCCAAACTGATTATTAACCTAGACCTTCTAGAGACGTCTGTGAAAAGTATTGTAGCATCTTGTGTTAGTGAAAATGGTTTCAAATTAGACAGCCTGAATTTCTTAATAGAAACCAAAGAGACTTTTGGGTAGTACATGAATTGAAAGGAAAGAATCTGCCAGTTTCTAGCCAAAAGGTGACCCTTTTAAAGACATATTTGTTAGTTGTGAGTGACAGAGGTTACAGAGTCAGGCAGGACCATTTCTAAAGTGTTAAACTGACCTTAGGTAACAAGGTCATGAGGTCGGTAGGGGTCAGGATTGGTCGAGGAGAACTCTTTGCCTTTTGTGGAGAGCTTTAAAAGGCTTCAACTTCCCGTCCCTCCCTCTCTTCTTTCGGGTCTCACCCTGCCTGGCTATTTTCTAAAAGCCACCATGATTTGAAAACTGACTTATGGGCTGACCTCCCCAGCCTGAGGGCACATGGACAACCAGATGCTGTAGTTCAAACCTATTCCTGTTTGGCAGGGTGGCAGGAGCCAGGAAGCCTGGAGATGGAGACTTTCCTCATCCCCTTTGCGATCTATAAAAATTGTCTAATGAAGGCCGGGCATGGTGGCTCACGCCTGAAATCCCAGCACTTTGGGGAGGCTGAGGCGGGCAGATCACTTGAGGTCAGGAGTTCAAAACCAGCCTGGCCAACATGGTGAAACCCTGTCTCTATTGAAAATAAAAAATTAGCCAGGCGTGGTGGCAGGCGCCTGTAGTTCCAGTTACTTGTGAGGCTGAGGCAAGAGAATCACTTGAACCCACGAGGCAGAGGTTGCAGTGAGTCAAGATTGTGCCATGGCATTCCAGCCTGGGCAACAGAGCGAGACTCAGTCTCAGACAAACAAGCAACAACAACAACAAAACAAAACAAAACAAAAGAGAGACAATTGTTTTATGAAGATATGACCTTCAGTTCTGTTCTTACTTTGTTTTGTTTTGTCTCTTTATGTTGCCAGGCTAAACTGCAGTGGCTATTCATAAGCACGGCCATCACACATTGTAGCCTCTAACTCCTGGGCTCAAGCAATCCTCCTGCCTCAGCCTCCTGAGTAGCTGGGACTACAGGATCTCACCACCATACCCGGCTTGGTCATCAGTTGTTTATATTATTTCCCTTTGGCTTCTCTGTGTTTATAAAATGTTTGAATTGGTGTCTTTGATAAAGTTGAGCAAATCATTAAAACTTTTGGGGACTAATTTTTTTCTCATCAACAAAATAAGAAAAACTGCATAAGCTATTTTTGCTTCATGTTCGTTTGCGTAGCTAAAATGTATATACTTTTTTTGGTCTTGATTAGTAAACATTAGAGAAGCCTCATGCTCTTTTCTATAATATCTAAATCACTCTGCTGGGCATGGCGGCTCATGCCTGTAATCCCAGCACTTTGGGAGGCAAAGGCAGGCAGATCACCTGAGGTCAAGAGTTTGAGACCAGCCTGGCCAACATGGTGAAACTGTGTCTCTACTAAAAATACAAAAAAATTAGCCAGGCGTTGTGGCAGGCACCTGTAATCCCAGCTAGCTGGGAGGTGGAGGCAGGAGAATCGCTTGAGCCTGGGAGGCGGAGGTTGCAGTGAGCCGAGACCGCACCATTGCACTCCAGCATGGGCAACAAGAAAGAAACTCTGTCTCAAAAAAAAAAAATTTATCTCTCTTTGGGAATGAAGACATTGTAGTACTCTTGTTCCTGTGAACAATTCTCTATGTGTAGTTACTGGCTTTATAGAAGGTGGAGTAAGACATTTGCAGCCCTGCCCAGGTACTAACCCTTTGCTTTTAGCCCCAAATGACTTATGAAATTTAATAAACTCTTCTAAGCCCTTGCACATGAAATATGTTCAGTGTATGATTATATTTGGTTTCTCTGGCATGCAACCTGTATGTTATGTAATCTTCACCACTTTACAACAGTGCTTTGGACAATGATTTCTTATTAAAAAGACTTTGGCTTTCCCCCTCCTGAACATGTAAAGCACATTTGAACCGACATCTTTTAAACAGATAAATTGTGATTTGCTCACATACAGCTTAATTGACTCAGGGATATTTCCTCTTCATTATACCTCTCCCCATCAATTTAAAGAGGAAATCAGTAAGACCTCACCCTGAATCCTCTTTACCTCTGTATTTCCTCTTTTCCTCTCCGAGAAATCTGCTGAAATCTGGGTCTGACTTTTGAGTATTTTCCAGGCTTCCAGCCACAGTGATCTCAGCTCTCTAAGACCATAGTGGTCCACAGCTTCAGGGCTCCCCATAGGAAGCTGGTCCAATGGTTGGAACTCCAGAGGCTCCTCCCTGCCCACCCCCACTTTGTGGTGTTCGCCTGTCAAAGACTCTGGCACACATAAGGGCAGTTCTGGCTGCCAGATGCTCATCCAATCATCTAGTTCCTTCCGCCTCCGTTTTAGGAGAAAATAACCAGGGAAAGAAGAGGAAATGATTGTGTTAATGATCAGGGCCCCAGAAAAATCTAGTGTATATGCTGGAAGAAGAGAATGTGGGAAAGGAAGGCCCTGAGCACCTGACTGAGAAATTTCCATTTCTTTCTATCTGATTCACTTTAATATTTTTATGAGTAAAATTCTGTAATGTGAGCAGTGGAGATACATAAGACATACAAGTGGTATGTCCACACGCAGATCCACAGTCTAGTGGAGGAGGAAGGAAAATACAGACAGAACTTAAATAAAACCATATTAAAAACCTAGAAGCAATGGTCTGTGGGAATAGAGAAGAGGAAAAAGGGTATTTCAATGGGAAGACTCTCAGAAGGCTTTCAGTAGGAGGTAGCATTTTAGCTCAGTCTTGAAGAATGGGTATGATTTAATGAAAGGATTTTTCTGGGAGTGGGGGCAGAGGTCAGGAAGGATATTCCTGGGAGAAAGAAGCGAAAACAGCTTGAATAAAATCCCCTAGAAGAGACAGTAAGTGGTGAGAGACAGATAGGAATCAGTAAGTTTTTGAACAATTAATTTTAGCTTAATAGTCATATGGCAGGCCAAGTGTGGTGGCTCATGCCTATAATCCCAATGCTTTAGGGGACCGAGTTAAGAGAATCATTTGGCCAGGTGTGGTGGGTCATGCCTGTCATCCCAGCACTTTGGGAGGCCAAGGCAGGCAGATCATCTGAGGTCAGGTGTTCGAGACCAGCCTGACCAACATGGAGAAACCTTGTCTCTACTAAAAACACAAAATTAGCCTGGCGTGATGTGCATGCCTGTAATCCCGGGTACTCAGGAGGCTGAGGCAGGAGAATCGTTTGAACCTGGGAGGCGGAGGTTGAGGTGAGCCGGGATCGCACCATTGCACTGCAGCCTGGGCAATAAGAGTGAAACTCTGTCTCAAAAAATAAACAAACAGAAAAAGAATCACCTGAGCCCAGAAGTTTGGGACCAGCTAATACAAAAATTAGCCAGGTGTGTTAGCGTGCATCTGTAGTCTCAGCTAGTTGGGAGGCTGAGGCAGAAGAATCACTTGAGCCCAGGAGGTCAAGGCTACAGTGAGCCATGATGGTGCCACTGCAGTACAGCCCTGAGTGAGACCATGTCTCAAAAAATAAACAAAAAACAAAAGTCATATTGAGGAAGAGAAATATGAAATTATAATAGCTACATGGAGCACAGGGAAAAAAGGTAACTTTGGAAGTTTCATTTAAAATAAGTTTTGTTAAGAAAACATGGCAG